TCAAGTACATGACCGTACGGAGCGACTCCTCCTCGTGCTTCCGCTTGTCGGCTGCCCTGTCAGCCTTCGACGACCCCGTCGTCCCTGCCGCACCGGAATATTTCCTCGCCAGAGAACCTTCCTTGCGGGACGTCGTGCTCGAGACGTCGCACTTCTTCTTGGATGCCTGAAGCTGGTCTTTGATCCCCTGTATCGCCCTCATTCCCGTCTGGTACGCCGCCCTGCTCATCTGCGTTAACTAACGTAGGTACAAGTTATTAAAGCCTGATAAAATGTTTTTTAAACTTTTCTAAGTACAATACTAGATTAGGCGCTGTGGAAAAAGGAGAAGCGGTGCGGATATATATGTGGAAGAAAAGGTGGCGAGGCTTTGATTGGTTGGTGGGGTTTTCCCGATCGTGACAACCGGCTGCTGAGGTAGCAGAAGCGTGTGGCGACCGCCACGTGGCGGTGGGAGTTCCATTGGATGGGGGCGAGAGAGCGACTTTTGTGGAATTTATGAGTGTTTATGTTGCAATTTTGATTGGATCAAACCATAATTATTGTGCTTATCCATTTTAATTTGTTTGGTTGTGTTGTGTGTGCGTTCGAGATTTTGGGTCTAAAATGTTTTTTTTTTTTTTATTATTATTTTTTTTAGTCAATCACAGTATTCGGAACTATGTCTCGACTAATCCGTTGGTCGACATGGGTCGCACACCTGACACCTGGTAGTGGTGGGTGAGTCTCCCAACAAAAATTTTCTTCATCCACAAGGACTCGAATAGTTATATTTAAATTTTGGACAAAAATAATTTTCTCTAAACTATAATAATAATAGGACAATACAAATTAAATATATTCACTACAAAAAAATAGAGTTCCAGTGATTTTTTTTTTTTTCACTATATCTACAATTATTGTCACTATATATATTATTAATATATCTACAATTATTGTCACTATATCTACAATTGTTGTCACTATATCTACAACAATTATTGTCACTATATCTACAATTGTTGTAGATATAGTGACATAGATATAATGACAACATAGTGACAAAAAAATTCTTCACTAGAACTCTATTTTCTTGTAGTGATTTTCTCAAAGCTTATATACTCTATTTTATGTGGCATGTGACATAGTTTTAGGATCACACACGTCATTTGTAATCTCTTGATATTATTTGGATGGAAATTGTTTCGTGAAGTACAAAATTATAAAATTAAATAGGTCATCCTCTTAAAATTTTCGAAGAAAATAAATAAATGATAGGTAGCTTTACAATGATAGGTCATACTCTTACATTAAATATACATTATTTTATATATTTTAAAATTATAATTCAAATGATATAAATATGCAACAAACTTTAATTGACAAATTGTTAGACGAACTGATAAATTACACCTCGTGGTTAACCTTTATCATCGAATTCAATAGCTCCATCAAAAAAAAAAAAAAAAA